AAATAATGAAAAGATAAAGTAAATACAGATTTAACATGAGCACACAAGAAACGCAATATTTATTTCAATGGAAATGTTTAGGGAAAGGGTATCTCGCTACACATTCATTCCCCCAGTTTCCAGTGACCTCGAGATTCGAGAATCGAAACTTGAATCTGCATAGATCCATGGAGTGAGTAAATAAATTAATCTTGGAAATTTGTGTTTTTTCTTCTCTGGCCAAACCGCCGTTCGATTTTGGAGATGAAATCTGTGGTGCGTAACCCCACCTGCGACTGCCGGGCGCAACAACCATCCTGTTTCGCCCCTCCACGACAAAGGTCTGTTCCTTTTTGAGTTTTTTCAAATTAATCGAGCTTTCTTTATATTTAATTTCATTTTAAAGATTCCGATGCTAACTCCGATTCACACAGAGCTTGAGCTTTCATGGAACTCGACTCTCCCCGCTTGAAGGACGTAATCCGGTGCGGTGGCGCATCTGGGTTCGATCACCTACTGTTACTCGCAGGCAAAGTCAGTTTCTATGATTTAATTTGATTTTGAGTTTGCCATTTTTTATTAAAAGCTATGGCCTTTGGCTTTGTTTTGATACTCTGCATTTGTAAAGGCGGTGGCCACGCCGAATTCAGCTGTGGAGTTGCCGCTAACCGCCGAGAATGTAGAGATTGTATTGGATGAAGTTCGACCATATCTCATTGCAGATGGAGGGAACGCGGCATTGCACGAAATTGATGGTAATGTTGCGCGGTTGAAGCTGCAAGAAGCCCTGTGGTTCCTGTCCTAGTTCAGTTACGACTATGAAAATGGGTATAGGGAGCCGTTTAATGGAGAAGATACCTGAAATAGTTGCGCAGGAGCCAATAACAGATGAAGAGAGTGGCTTGAGCTGAATGAAGGGAATATAGAGAAGGTAATTACGTTGAAATCTCTGGGCTTCTTAATTTACTTCTCATTTCTTTTATTCATAACGGCAAATCATATTCATTTTATATCAACATTTGAATAAGCTTCAAATCTTGTGGAAGTAATTCAAATGGAAACCATTGATTTGAATCTCTACCGTTAATTCATATATCGGACTATGACAGCATGATGAACATTCTTTTTTCATTTAGTGCCTAATGATTTTTGGAACTTGTATGGGTGAGGTTGTTAGACAATGGCATTTCAGTTTACTTTTGGGTGGAGGATGTGGCCTTGGAGGACGTGAAATGGAACAGAGATGGGCAGGGCCCATTTATTGCATTTCATCTGCTAGGAGATGTTTTTTTTTTTTTTTTTTTTTTAAATTTGTATGGAGTTGGATTCAAATCATTGCCTTAGAGCGAATGTATTTATACGTGGCCTGATGTCATTAGATCAAAGGCTCAAGTGCTCTAGGACTTTAAGAGATGTCTTTTGGATTTAGTGGAAGGATAAAAATAAATATCAATTTT